ATATTACAATAAATGTTCAAATGGAAAAACCAACAGATGACTTATCTACAGCAACTCCTCAAAAGAATTGTGCAGCTGCTGTTCTGTCTTTTCCTCTTCATTGTGTTTTTCTATAGAGAAACAATGATGGAAGATGGGGTGAAAATAAAGGGGAGAAGCACAAGTGGAAAATGATGGCATCTGGTGTGTGTATGTGTCTTCAAGCTGCCTGTCAATATATGGTGACCCCATCAATTTCATAGGGTTTTCTCAGGCAAAGAATATTAAGAGGGGTTTTTGCCAATTCCTCCCTCTGAAATATAGCCTACAGCAAATCATATTCATTGGCAGTCCAGGTACTGAGCAGGGCTGACATTACTTAGCTTCAAAACTCAGCTGGGATATGGTGTCTTTAGGATATTTAGGCTACCTATGGCATCTGGACCTATAGATGCAGTATTTATGCTACGCTTTTCCTAGTTCATTCATAGAATTTGATGGCATCTGGACCACCATCAAAGTTTGTAAATGGGCCAGAAGAAGCGTACAACACAGGCCTCATCCAAAAGGACACTTTGCACATATTTATTGAGGCATTGATGAGTTCCTTGTCATCACAACCACCATTGATATAGCTAACTCTGTTGTATAAAAGGTACTTGAAGCCATTGTTCTAATGGGTGGAATTTAATTGTATATATTATTTAGTGTAAAATGAAAACTAAAATGCAGTACACTTGTCCCTCCACATTTGAGACTTTGATTTTTGTGGATTTGATTATTCACAAATTTTATTAATATGTTCTCTCTAGGAATATCTAGGTCCTCCACTGCAATTCTGTGGTCAGCTTTAACTAAAAGTCGCACTGAAGGTCCCAGAGATTCCTGGAGAGAACCCTCCACTTGGCATTTGTAGCTCTTCCAGTGCAGTTCTATGGTCAATGTCTGGCAAAAGTAGACACAGAGTTGCACTGGAGGACCTAGAGATTCCTACAGAGGTGTCCTCTCAGGTAAAAACACAGTGTTTTTCTTATTTGCAGTTTTTCCACATTCATGGGGTTCCTGTACCTCTAACCCCAGCAAATGTGGAGGGACGAGTGTACATCTGAATCTAGAATTTCTTCTGATCTCTTCTGTGGGTTTCTAAAATCTGAGAACATATTATAGCATCACGTGGAAGCCACGCACACATGAAGATGCATGGGGAGGGAGGATGTGGTATTGCAACATGGGGGTTATTGTTGATGAGACTGTCAAACTGTGCTCAGCAAATTATGGGCAGTAACACAAATAAGATCTCTGACGATATGTGAGTAGTAAAGTTCAAATCCTGAAACTCAATCCTTGCACAGCCAGTTAGAAAAACAAAAACGTATTGTGAGTAAGACCTGAGGTTACAATGTGTTTTGTGTTTATCCAGCAAATCAGCCACTCAGGTAGACAAAGGTTTAACAGGCATTCCTATGTGTTTACTACCATATGTATTATTGTGATGCCACTTTGTTAGATTTAGAGAATGGAAAGAGACGGACTTATTTTAAAATCACCCTGATCAAGGCAGGTGGAGAATTTTAGATTATCGCACCACTAATAAAACCGGTTTACCTGAGCTGGCTTAAAATTTTAAACAAGGGGCATCCTGATCTTATCACAAGGTTTTAGGTGCTGAAATCGCCACCTGGGTCCAGCCCGAGTCCATCCCCACTCACAGGGCCGCTCCGATGGCCATTTCCTTAAGCTGGAAAGCTCTCGGCTTCAAAAAGACACATGGACCCAGGTGGCGATTTCGGTGGCTAAATCCTTCTGATAACATCAGGATGCTGCCCGTTTTAAATTTGAAACCAGCTCAGGTAAGCCGATTTTATTAACGGTGAGATAAGCTTCTTAAAAAGGGATTCAAAGAGAGTGTGCATGGTCAGGAACTCTGCTTTGCACCTTGGTACATATTGCTACAAATCAAGGAATAACAAGAGATATCATCTTCCATGTTCATTTGGAAAACCGTTGGCTGAAGCAAAACAGATGCACTCTCAAAAGGGTTTTGCTAGCAGGCAAGGTTCACCTTCATAGATTTCTGAGGCAAACCCACAAAACAAGCCAAGGCTTTTGGGTGCATCTACACTGTAGAAATAATGCAGTTTGACCTCTTTTTAAGTGCTGTCGTGCCATCTTGTGGAATCCTGGGATTTGTAGTTTGACAAGGGCTTTCTAGTCTTCTTTATCCACAAGATTACAAGATGGTGCTTCACAAGATTACCATGATTCTATAGGTTGGAGCCATGGCAATTAAAAGTGGTGTCAAACTGCATTATTTCTACCGTGTAGATGCGCCTCCAGTGCCTGGTTGTGGACCAAGCATGAGAAGGGTCATTCCCAAATGGTATGGGGGGGGGGTAATGCACTTCCTGGTCAATCCACAGGGTAGCCATATCAACACTTGATATTATTTGTTAATAGCTTTTCTGAATCTGTGTCTCCGTGTCGCAAAAAACGAATAATGACTAGCTTTATTAATCCAACTAGATCCCATTTAAAAATGCACTGCAGTCTATTATTGGACACAGACCAAGTAAATGAGCATCTGAATGTAATCGCCTTTTTGTGATGTGGTCATTAGGGGTTTCGAGCTGGACTACGGGAAGACCCAAGTTCCAAATTCATGCTAAGCCCAAAGGACTATGCCCCAAATCACTCTCACTGAGGCTAAACTGACGAAAAATGAAGGACAAAACCATATATATATATATATATATATATATACACACACACATACACACATACACAAAAGCCTTCCAAATTCATGCTGCCTGAAAGCCTTTGATATCTACTGAGCTTTGGTTCTAGGAAACCCCCTTTCTCTGGGATTACCAAAACCTGTGGATACTTAAGTCCCATGGTGTGCACTGGTATAGTAAAATGGTGTCGCCTATATACAATGGCAAAATCAAGGTTTCCTTTTTGCTATAGTTTTTTTAAAAATATATTTTCAAGCCATGGATGGTTGAATCTGTGGATGTAGGATCTGTGGATGTGGAGGGCTGAGTGTAATCTGATTTATTTTCACAGCATACTAGTGGGCCAGCTGTGTATACCTGTGGGGGCCAGCTCCTCCTCCTCCTCCTCCTCCTCCTCTTCTTCTTCTTCCATCTTTTTTGTTTTTCTCCTCTTCCTTTTTAATTGGAAGGAGGATGAACCTAAGGCGGCATCCACACTCCAGAAATAATGCAGTTTGATATTACTCTAACTTCTAAGGCTCAATGCTATGGAATCCTAGGATTTATAGTTTGTTGTGGCACCAGAGTGCTCTGACGAGAGGACTAAATGTCTCACAAAGCTAAACTCCTAGAATTCCATAGCATTGAGCCATGGCAAAGTGGAGTCAATCTGGATTACTTCTGCAGTGTGGACGCAGCCATAAATCACAAAGCATGTCATACCTAGGAGATGGACTTTACTGTCTCAGGCCCACATCTACAAAGGAAACCACTTCTTTTGTTAAACTGGCTTTTCTGAAGATTGTACAGATTGCTTCCTTATCCCTATGTCCATGAACAAAAACAAGCACACTCATATGGCAATAGTCCATAAATACTAATGTGTGGTTTCTTAGTCATGTACATGCAGCACTCACAAACAAGGGATGTGTTCTTCTATCCAGGAGGTTCCCCTCATTTACAAACATGGGACTCTTCCTCTGTTTCCTTTGAATGACAGGAATTAGCTATATAATATCCTGTAACCCTGGAGGGCTCTTCCGAAAGGATCCACCCTGTCACACACTGCTGCGGCATCTTAATACCATGCAAGGTATTACTGCAAGACTGCTAATTTTCTAGCTGATGCTAAGCAAAACAGGAAGTTAACTTCATCTAACTCTGGTCTCTTTCTTCGATGCAAGCATTAGGTGATGAAGAATGCTTTGAATTAATCGCCCAGCAACAAAATATGTATCCATAAAACTACTTGCTAGTGGTTGCTCAGTTATGGTGTTTGCATGTGACACGAATCCATGATTTATGTTACCATGATTTGTTGCTTTAGTCAAGAATTGTCTGCAATTCTTACAAGTCCTGCAATTCTAGGTCCCTGACGTGCCTCTGCTGGAGTTCTGCAGATGTGAGGCCATATAGGAAAATCTTCTTTCTTGTGATAGCCATTAATATCATTAATAATTCTGGATGAAGATCATTTTCTGTAGAAATCAATGAGGAAAAATTGGCCTGATAGTAAACTTCATACAAAGACCAGGTCTGGACTCAGAAGCAGGACAAGTGAAGATAGGAGGAAGGAACAACAACAATCTGATATGTAGATGATACCATACTACTAATGGAAAACAGGCTTACTGCTGAACATAAAGAAAACAAAAATAATGACCACAGAGAACCTATCACAGGAACTTATCACTTGGGGTTTTAAACCAAATCAAGCTTCCCAGGTTGCAGCTGGGAGGCGGGATGGAGGTGAAGATTATCACATGGAAAATCACTGCTGAATCGCCAGCTGCCATCAGCCCAGGTCCTAGCCGGGCTCAGCCAGTGCTTTTTAGAAATCGGAATGCTTTCTGGTTTTTAAAAAGTACAGGCTGAGCCCAGCTGGGACCTAAGCTGATGGCAGCCGGTGATTCAACTGCAATTTAGTTGAGTATACTAAGCATAATAACTAAAGGCCTCAGAAATGTATGAGAAGCTAATTCATTGAAAGGGGATATGAATGGCAACTTGCTAGCTGAGCTATACTTGCATAATTCTCAAGAGTATGTTGGGATTTAGAACAGTGTAATGCTGAGACATCTGAATGTGTGGTCTTGCCCTTCATATGCAGATTGAGGATGTATAGTCTATGGGAAACAAATGCCTGATGCTCCATCACAATGGTGTTGTTGTGTGCCTTCAAGTCATTTCCAATATATGGTGACCCTCAAGCAAACCTATCATAGAGTTTTATGGGAAGATTTATTCAAAAGGGGCTTGCCATTGCCTTCCTTTGAGGCTGAGAGAGTATTATGCAGTAGGTTTTCATAGCCAAGCAGGGATTTGAACCCTGGTCTCCAGAATCCTAGTTGAACACTCAAGCCATTGTACCATGCTGGCTCCCCACAATGGCAATAGAATACTTTATTATTTCTTCATTCACCTACCTTTTCTTTTTTTAAAAAGAGTCAGTCAGGAATCAAGATACAGCTTTGTTTAATCAATAGCTTATTCCAGATCATCCATAACCAACCAAGCAATCAGAGGCAAAATAGAACTCTGCTTTTCCTAATATACAAGATAGGCTGAGATTCAAATGGGAGCGGACAACTTTGGCAGGGGTCTGGGGCCAGCTTTGTGTCCCAGGACTTTATTGGGGCTAAATGAACTGATGAAAATACCAAACAATGGTTACCTACAAACTGTAAATGGCTGGGAAAATAAATATCTGTTGATATTAATTTATTAATAAATTAATATATTTGCAACTTATTTAAAGTTGAATTACCAGGAGAGGCAGTTCAACCTTAATTTGGCAGGAAATGTTTTGGGGGAAGCTTGGAGGGTTGGAGCCCAAACAACACAAGTTCACACTTTGTCCTAAGCTCTGTCAAGTTAAAGAGACCCCACAGTGTTACTTCCATTTTTTTTATTTTGTTGTTGTTTTTAGCT